CCCATGGCCCAAAGAATGTTTGAGATTCTTATCTACCTTCGGTTTCACGAACGTCGTCCCATCGATCAAAGTACGCCCCACTTTGCTTTCAGGATCTAGAGTCCGACAATTTCTTGAATCCTTGATTATCCCTCGCGTCAGAATCTTTAAGATCTCCTACCGTATCCCACACGTCCCTCCCCGAGCACTTCCAAGCTGTTTCCCGCCAGATTTTTGAGCTCTTAATTCGACAGAGTCAGTCTCACGCCTTTCGCTGGGGACCGCGCTCATGACCCGACGTGCTTTGGCCTCTTCGGCTTTGTATCATCCTACCAGAGTGAAACGCCTTGCTCTGTTTGGACCACGGCGCTCAGCAAGTAGGGATGGTGATGAGGTCAATGGGTAGTATGTTGGTCGGTATATCTGATTTGTGCATAAGTATTTGCTTGCTGTCGCTCGGAGCTGTTTTGCCATCCCGAAAACAAACCAAAGTGAAGATGTAGCGGGAACAACTTACAATGGGGTTGCAGTGTTCTTTACACCTTGATTTGTTGCTTTGAATTTCTGCTGTGTAATTCTGCGGTTCTTTGCTGCTCTTCCGGTCGCTGCTGGACTGCTAGCGCAACACATGTTCACATGGAGCTGTGCTGTTTCCCGGCGTACGTTAGGTGTTATCTTCTCGTTCGTCTCCTCTCGCCGTGTGCAAAGCCCACAATCCATGAACCAAGCGAGGTTTCAACGCTTTGCTTGCTTGCTGGGTTGTTTGTTCCTTCTCCTGGCCATTCTTCTGATGTCGCATTGCGCCTTGTTCTTGTCATCTTCTACGATTCTACGCATGTGTATGATATGTGTTGACCCTTCTTCTGCCAGCTCTGATCGCAGGTTTGGCCGCTCTCGTGGCGACATGCTTCTGCAAGAGCTGAATGCAGAGGTTTCCACCGAGGCCCGGATCAAGGGTCGAAGCACTCAGAACGAAGTTGTTTGAATTATCGCAGAGCTGTCGATGTTTCGAGACACAAGACCCGAAGTAACCAATCCATGATGCTGTTCCCTGCCACGACAATGTTGTTCCTTCGGCAAGTAGGAAAAACGACACTGCTCAGTCGTAGGTGCCGGCCATACTATACGCACGCATGATCCGGAGAACGATGCTACGTCTCTCAAGTGTCATCTGCAAGACTAACCTGTGCAAATCTCACGCGAGCCCAACTGCTAAAGCTACCCCCAAGAATCCAGGTATCTGCAGCTCGCAGAAAGCGACGCCTTGCAAAGTCAAGGTGGGACGATGGTAATTTATAGTTGTACCATCTACAGCATTACTGAATAGAATGTATAGCAGTGGGTTCAGTGCATTCCGCGGGAAGCTGGCACTTGCTTCTAGGCGAGTCGACTTGAAATATTTGCTACCAATCAAAAATCCTCCTTGTGGTCTTGCTGTTGCACAGTGCTTGAAGTGATGCTCCTCAGCAATCCAATATGAAACTTTGCGGCGGGTAGTGACTGGAGTGGACGCAAGCCCGAAACGTGAGTGACAGAGAGCTCTTGCTTGCCAGGCAGAGCGTCGAAGACGTGTGATCATCGCTTTACCTTTTACCTGGCTTCGAAAAGGAGTGGAACGCTTGGGTCCTGAGATGCGACTGGCTCGTCTTTCGAGTATAAATCCCAATTTTTCCGTTGCAGCTATCTTGGCCGAGATGTCTGCGAGTGTGACTTCATGGCCCCGCAAGTTCTGCCATGCAGGGACAGCTCGCACTGTTTGACTGGCTCCATCGTCGGCCAAGCCACTTTTAAGAACCGCTTGCAGCCCTTAGCACATTCACTCCTTAGCTCTGCGTCGCGTTCTCCCCGTTCAGCCGTAGCCATGCGCAGCCCGGGCCATGCCAAGCGACAGCGATCACGGTCACCGGCCAGAAAGGCATCGGAGTGAGGTGTACTCGCAGTTTGTATAACTGTATAATCATACGACATACATACACATACACAGACACGCGGACAATCATACACATGCGCATACATATGCCCGTAGACAGACATACACATACATACACTCATGCATTCCGTTACCATGCATGCATGAATGCATAGCGCAACACAGCAGAGCATAGCATGTAAACTTAAAGGACAGCATCACATAACATGCATACATATATAATTATACCATATATAGTATATGTGTACATAAAACAGGTCATGTGCACTTAGATACATACATGACAATACATAGCATCGCATTGCAGTACATTACATTGCCAAACATACCTACCCACCGCCTGCCTGCCTAGATACGTATATACACACATGCACGCCAATGCAGGCATGCTTGCATGCATGCTCGCATTTCATACATGCGTGTGTACACGCGTACACTGATACTCACGCACATACATATACACGCGCATCCACTAAACACACCCAGGGACGGACACAGATAGAGATGTGATATGAATGTATATGTATCCACATCCGACAGCCCAGACGTATCAAGAGCCTCGTGGCTCTAGCAGTCATAATGGCAACTACTCGGAGCTGAAGAGCCGCTTCAGTGCTGGCAAACCTCTAATGCAAGGCTATTTGGACGTAGTAATTAGTTTAGGGCTTGCAGGATCTTTGGGATGCAGCATGCCAGATTATACCGGGAGGGTCTACACCGCACTCCACAATATGCGATAGCCTCATATTCGTATCTTCCAGTGATGGTCTGTGCATGTCTGCGCGACAGCTTGTGAGGTGGACACCAGGCGCATCTCCAGCGCGCTCTGCCGGATGATCCGCTACCCGCAACATAGACCGGAAGGCAATCGAGACGGGAGAAATCAATCAGAGAAGAGTGACACTGTAAATATGATGTTCCAGCAAATAGGGGGCCCTGCTAATGTTGCCGAAGAATGCCGAATCTAGTAAGATGGACTCCGCGATAGTAGGATCCCAGCAGAAGTTGCCCGAGCCAATTGACTCCAGGTCTCGTGGTGGACGCAACCGGAAAAGTCGAGCTTTCCAACTTGATGTCCGCATGGGCGAGTGCCGAAGGCTTAACGGAGACCCACATCTTGGACACTGTCGAGGCGCAGCAGCACGCATGCCCAGGTCTCGCACACCCTGGGATTCTGTCTGCTAGCTTGAGTACGTAACTCCAAGGTCGACTTATTTTGCAAACGTCGGTCAATGTCGGTCACGAAATGCAGCCAGCACTTTGCAGCGACAGGCGCACAAGTGGCAAGACACAGAGACAATGACGCCACGCTACTCGTTGCTTGGAGAAGACGGCTCCTTCCAGATTCGCATCTTGGCGTATCCAAGTTGTTCCATGAGTTGTCATTTCAAGCAAGTCTGACAAAGGCTGGATTTGCATGCATCCGAGGCGTCCACAAGCCTCGGAGGGAGTCGCAGCAGCGAAAAAGTATGCCGTCGAAACCCAGGAGCAGTTTCAGAGTGCTCGTGATTACGTATTCGGGATGCGCCGGACTACTGCTCATCAGTAGCATGCTAGTCGATTTTTTGTCACTGCTACTGCTACGAGTAGGCAGTAGAAGTAGTAGTAGCAGGAGTAGTAGTAGTAGCAGGAGTAGTAGTAGTAGTAGTAGTAGTAGTAGGAGTAGGAGTAGGAGTAGGAGTAGGAGTAGTCGTAGTCGTAGTCGTAGTCGTAGTCGTAGTCGTCGTCGTCGTCGTCGTCGTCGTCGTCACTTCCGCAGGAGCACCTGGCTCGTCAAGTCGGAGGGGGACGAAGACAGGAGAAGGAAGGGAAAGTGCCTGGGTTCTTGCTGAGGAACTGGTTCGATATGTATATATACATGCACACAATAGTTGTGTATTTGACTAATTCTTAGTCTTGATGTGTAAGGTCATGGTCTTGTTGTGTGGGTTTGGTTGTTTGTTGACCTATGTATTCGGTCCTGCATGGTGGTTCCTTACTGTAGCTTGAAGTAAGTCCCTGAGCTGGAGCCCAGGTTCACGAGAGTTAAGTCGGAGGTGAATGGAAAGAAGAGTACGGAGGATCCCGAAGCCTGGGACTCTGAGGGAAAAGAGGATGACGAGGATTGGCCGGGGTACTGGGCTAAGAAGGAGACTGCAGATGAGTGAGGGCAAGGCTCATAGCCCTATTGAAATACTGAGAAGCCAAACCAGCTTCAAGCTCGTGTAGCTCTGCAGCCAGTGGCACTCGTAGGACTTATTGCCTGGCACGCGTAGAGAGTTTCTGTGAACGATGTTTAACGGCTTACACAGAGCAGAGATGCAGCAATTGCAAGCATCACAAAGATCAGCATGGTTGCCGTTTGGCAGAGCAACCTTTGGCGACACGCATTCACTCTGCTCCAGCGCGCCAGTCTTTTAAATGGGCATTGGTCGAGAGGGGCCGTGCATTCCTGTCAGCGGTTGTCGCATGTTTGTAAAATCGCAGGCTTTGAACGGCGAACAGCCTCGAATAACGGCGCATTATTGTTGCCGGTCGATACTAGCATTTACCAGCACAATGTGGCAATGATGGTGCGCATTAAGCTGTTGAGTCCATCCGCTGTGGGGAATTTTGATTTACACTACGCTTCCATCGGCGACGCCAAAGCTCGAAACCCCAAACAGGCGCTGTGCGGGTCAAGGAACATGATAGAGTCAATTCTAAGAAGTACAGATGACAGGAGGCACATGCATGGTTCACTAGCAATCATGTAATCTGGGGATCCGAAGCAGGGGCCCCTAGCTGTAATGCAAAGTCTCGTGAGGTCAGGGGGGGGTGGCTTTCATGGGTGTTTGTGTCTTCAGCGATACCCACCCGAAGAAGGGAACACCTCAGCCACGGCGTGAAAAGAATCTGCAACAGTATCAGTGACGCCCAGTGAGGCAGCCTTACATCCCAAAGCCAAACTGTAAACACTGACCCCTGAAGCCTTTACTACACCCAAAACTGCCCCAAACTCTGATCAAACAACTGCAGCATCGCTGTGCTGTGTTCGGTTCTAACTTTGCCCGACTCGGGTACGCCGTACGCGCCTCTGATCTGTGCGGCTCCAGCATTCATGAAGGTGTCATGGCAAAGACAAGAGCAACGAGAAGTCAAGCGAAGCAATTACACTCAAGAGGCTCTGGTGAAGATGATAATATTGTGCCGAAATTGAAGGTCAGGGAGCATGTACGGTAGGCTGGTTCCACCAGCACCTCCAGCCCAGCAGTACACAACAGCAGGCCCTAACGTCATAAGCATCGCAGCTGTCGGTGCAGTCGGGTCCATCTGGACCAAATCGTACAATGCCAGGCGCCATCTTCCGTAAAGAGGGAGAGGGACGACTTTGCCTGTCCTTAGGCACTGCCCAGTTACTACTGACTATTGTTTCTTGCGTCTTGGTCAGATGGTGGCGGCAAGGGCTTCGTCAAGGAAGGCCGAGAGGACCCACACTGTGAGAGACCCCGGGCTTAGGGTCTTGGCATTCAAGCACTGCAAACACGTTGTTGAATCTTGGGGAAGATGCTTGCAGGACACCATCTTCGTTGGTGGGTTGCGCAAGAGCACCACAGAGGAGATAGGGTTAAATCTGCACCAGGGCCATGATCCGTGTAGCATCGAGTCCTCTGCTTTCTTGCAGGACAAGGTGGCAGGTCACTTCGCCAAGTTCGGCCAGGCGAGGAAGTCATTGGCATTGTACCAGCAGTCGAAGGTGTTTTTCATGAAAGGTGACCAACGTTGAAATCAAGAAGCAGCCCGATGGAACTTCTCGTGGCTTTGCCTTCGTGACCTTTGCGGAGAAGGAGCTGCTGTCCACTATGTCACTATAAGCCACAGAAGAGTCCGGAGAGCTGTCATTTTCCCATAGGGGTGCTGTGAGTGCTACTATTCTTGGAGTCCCGACGATCAAGATCATGATCATGTAGACCACTCATGGTTTCGCATTTGCTAGTTCTTGGCTGATTACCTTGCAGGCATCCGTTGCGAAGGTTCTGGAAGCCCACTCCAGCCACATGATCCTTGGCTGCGCCAAAAACTTGCTTCCCTGCTGCCAGAGCACCAACAAGCTTGTTCTTCAAGGATTGATAACAAGTGGGTGGACGTGAAGCCCCAGGTAGCTGCCGTCCCAAAGGCCTGGATTGTCACTGCGGTCTTCAAGCTTTAAGCGGGTCAACTCGAGTTGCCCGTCTCCTGCCCAAACCTATAACCGATCGGTAACTTCCCCTATCAGCTGCGAGCCTCGGCCAGAACCCACGTGACAATGCCCCTGCGAAGAAAGAGAAGGAGGAGGCTGGGCTGCGTCTTGAGAGGGTCTCTTCGCACCACTGTACCAGGATGCCTTATCGTTAGGACTGTAGGACCCCAAATGGTAAGGGATTCCCCTCGTCTGTAAAAACTTGAACCCCCATGTCAAACGTCAAGGCCAAAGATACCCATGAAGACTACGAGTCGGGTTTCGCCGAGAAGTATCTGCAGGTGCGATGCCTCTTTGTGTGCGTGTGTATTGAGGTTTGTGTGTTGTGGGTGAGGAGGGAGTAACGATTGAAAGCACAAGACCTAGTTTGGGACTTATACGGTGGCACAACTTGACGCAACCCCAAACCCTTCCCTTCTGCATTGGCATTGGTGTTGGATGTCACAGCTTGTCTGCCGTCGCTCGCTCCCCCCGTGTCGTCGCGCCTACTGTAGAACATGGTACAACAAGATTTACGACCATAATAGCACGATGTCATATGTCATATCTCGGTTTCATGTGGTATCGTCTGATAAAGCACAAGATAGTGCAATCGTGTTGGTCCAGGCAGCTGCTGCCATGCAACAAGGATCGGGCAACAGTGCCTTTGCTCAAGCTTGTCTCATTGTACCAGGAGCTCTCGATCCTGCTACTGATCGATAACTCTAAACCCAGAGCCCCAATGTAGGGGTCGGAGTAGCTACTGCTAGTTACTAGTGTCCCCGTATAGTCCCTGCTATGAACACTGGCATAGTATAGTATACCCCCAAATCCAAGTGTAAGTTCTAGCTAGGGCCCTTGCATTAAAACTAGCCCTATCGAGCTGCAGTGCCAGTGAGCCCTTTGCAGCAACACCTGTTGACAAATCTTTGGCGTGTTTGCCAGGAGATGCCCAAATTCAGGGACCCTTAGATAGAAACCGCCCGAAAATATCCTTACGATCAGAACCCCCCCACCCCCAATTTGAGAAACCCTCACTTTCAGGATTGTAGTAAATCCCGAGGTCCAAAGCCGACTTGCCCCGATTCTCGGAAGATGCCGAGGTGAATCCTCCAGCAAAGAGGCCAAAGACGGAGATTCCAACCAGATGGGAAACATGATGAAGGCCTTGGATGTGGCTTCTTGGGCTCGGCAGGGAAATGCGAAATCCCGGCTTAGTTGGTGCATACTCTTCTTTCATGACTGGGTTCCCGTTTAGCCGCAGTGGAGAACAGCTTTCCGTAAACCGCGAGGCAATGATGAGTATGATGCCCATGATGATGGGCAACTTGGACCGACTCGCGTTTCTGCATGGTTGCTGTAGTTTCTGGGCTTTCTGTGGGCTGCCAAATAGGCAGGCCAGACAGGCAGGAATCAGTGCCGGGGTGTCCGAAGAGACGCAAACCGTCGCACGTGGAATTCTTCATGGCCTGCCTCCTGCGTAAACTCTGCCACAGCTTTGTGCTTTCGAGGCTTGAACACGTATCGCCTGGAAAAGCGAAGTCGTCCTCTACTGAGGCATGAATCCCATGATGATGGGCTGCGGAAATTGCAGCGGCGGCTGTGGTGGCGGTTGCGGCGGCTGCGGTGGCTGCGGAGGTTGTGGCAGCTGCGGATGCAGTGGCGGCTGCGGATGCGGCGGCTGCAGCGGCTGCGGAAACTGTGGCTGCGGCAGTTGCGGCGGCTGCGGTGCCTGTGGGCCCTGTGGGGCCTGCGGCTGTGGTGCTGGCTGTGGGTGCCCAGGCTGTGCGTGCGGCGGCCCGTGCGGGTCTTGAGCTCAGCCGAGATAAAACAAAGCGGTTCATGGCTTCTGTCGTTACCTTTTCGACCAAGTCTTTCTAGTCTGTAGTGCAGCAGTCGCCCAGGTGCGGAGGATGCCCCGGATGCGGCAGCTGTGGTGGCTGCGGGTGTCCGGGCTGTGGATGCAGTGGCGGTAGCTGTGGAAGCTGCGGCGGCTGTGGCAACTGCTGCAGTGGCTGCGGTGGCTGCGGTGGCTGCGGCTGCGGCGGCTGCGGCGGTTGTGGTGGCTGCGGCTGTGGTTGCGGCTGCTGTCCTGGCTGCGGCGGGTGCTGTGGGGGGTGTGGTTGTGGCGGATGTCCTTGCGCAGGATGTGGAGGTTGCAGCGGCTGTGGCTGCATGGGCTGCGGTGGCAGCAGCTGCAGTGGCGGCGGTAGCAACGCGTGCAACAGCTGTACTGGGTGTGGAGGATCCTGCGGCACGTCAGGTGGACCGAGCAGCTCGTCACAAGAGAACCCAACCATAAGCGCTCCCCAAAGATGTCGTAAGACCAGATAATACCCATTAGTCATGCCAATCACAATGATAGCATGTGATAGCCGCAGACAATACCACTCAAGCAATATCCAAAGCACTAGCAATAAGATTACTAAGAAGAAGAAGAAGAAGTTAAAACGCGGTAAGTTCCAATCATACTGATGAACTTTCATGAATAGTAGTAGCAGTACAGCCCTCATCCAGGTTGTGGCAGCGGAGCTCCCGGCTCCGCCAGCACCGGGGCCCCGGCGCCAGAAACCGAGAGCAAATCCAAGAGCTCCGAACGCTTCCAGCCCTACTGAGACCCTGGGAGGGAAGCCCTACTAATTCCAAGATCCGGGGATCCCCAAAGGTCTAGAATTCTCCGCAACATCAGATCAGATTGTCATATGATATGAAGTATAACCTATAGGTTTCATGGGGGTCCCCGGAACTCACCGGTCACGACGGGACTGCACCTGTCGCGACCTGTTAATGCGACAGCTGATTCAGCTGCCTTGCTCGGGGCTTCAGTGCACTAAACTCGTAAGCCCTAAACCCTAAACCCCTAAACCCTAAGCCCTAAACCCCTAAACTCAGAAACAGCATGCATCATGTATCACAGGGGCCTTAAGAACAGGAAGAGGGCTTTGTCGGCTGTAATGTGGGGGGCCTTCATGGTTGGAAGAGGCCTTTGGGGTATGCTATAGACTGAGGAAGGGACTTGTTCGGACCCCTACATTCGACACATGGAAGTGCCCGCGTTGAAGAAGCTGATATAGGAGTCCTTACAATGCTGGCAGAGGTGATCCATTAAATTCTAAAATCAGGAACCATGCAAGAAGTCCGGGTTGCAGAAGCTCAGTTTCGGGAAGACGGCTGGATGACCTCAGAACGGAAAGGGGCGCTCGAAAAAAGGTGGATGTAACAGAAGTAGGTGTGTAGTAGAAGTGGAAATATAGATTTGCTTGCTATTGGGAGCAGGGTCATGGTATATTGCCAGCGGCAGAAACTACAACTGGCTCCTGCTATGTGGCAGAGCATCGGTCGCACTTGTCTCTGATGCCTGCATGTGCAGCTGTCAAGCCGTCCATGAGAGGTCTCTGGATCCTAGGAAGCTAGGAGGTCCTAGCAGATCGTTTCCCGTGTATTCGCATATCTGATGAACAAGTTTCTGCCGGTGGGAGCGTTTGGCGCGGAGGTTGCTTAGGTTGAGTTCCTTGTCCTACCCTCTTGTTTCTCGCGCCATCATTTTCAGGCATCCGACACCGGGCTACTTGTACCAACGCCAAAAGAATCGAAAGTCGACTGTAGCCAGCTGCGCCCAGCAGGTCATGGCCAGGCCTGCACGGGTGCTCGCAGCACTCTTCGTGGCAGGTCCGCATGCGTCTGTTCGTGCCGGTAGGTTCAACACTTTTTGATTAGCTTCTAGAGTCTGATTCCTGCATGTGATGTCAAAGTCCTCACTGCGACCCGCGACATCAGGAACCGCCTTCTGCGCGCCGCATGCGCCTCGCGCAGCTCCGCACAGATCCCCGCTTGCTGAGAGACGAGGTCAGGGCGGAGTCTCCCGAGTAGTCACCTCCTTGTAGAACTAGAAGCCAAGCTCTGCACGCCAAACCTGTAGTGTTCAGGAATAGCTGCGGCATCTTTGCAGAACATGGGGCTTGTTTCTCTTCAGGATCCCCTGATGCCCGACCCGAGAGTTGGGGCAACAGCGTCGCACACTCGGAAATGACATCGTCTGGGGCAAGGACGGGCCGTGGCCTGGTTCAAAACTTCTCAGGGACCTCTGCAGCTGACTATAAGGTACATGTAGAAGGGGCATCCTCGCGCAGGATCCCTTGCATGTGATCTCAGTCTTGAGCCTTTAGCAAGCGGAAGGTCAATTGCGTTATCCCCAACACTTCGCTGAGAGTGGCAGGGTGGTCACAAAATACAGTCGCTCCGAATTGGAAAGAAGCCTCAATATCCGGTCAAGCTCCGATTCACTGAAATGAAGCAGGGCCAAACAATGCCCAAACATATCATTCCGAGATCCTAAACTCGAAATCCCACATAGTCTGGTTATCTTGCAATACCCCCAACCCCAGACTCAGATTTCAATACCCGCCCCAAACCCTGAATTGCTCGAAACCCGTGGAGTTCTGTCCTCTCTCTTCGACCAGTCCTTCTCTGTAAGGCCTTCGTGGCATCGACACTGGGACTCGTCGCTGTGGGAGCCTCGGGGCACCGTTCACATTTCTCAGATAATTCAACATATTATTCACATAAATAGATATATATATATATATATGCATGTCATGTGTACATATATATATATATACACGTGCATATGTATGTACGTATGTACATACATACATGCATACATACATACGTACGTACGTACATACATACATGTGCAGAGTCTAGCATGAAGTGTCAGTGATGGCAAGGGCGTGTGATGGTTTGCATCAAAGTTGGGGCTTTGATAGCCCTTGGCGTTGCCGGGTGGGTTTAGAAGGGATGCCCCCAATTCTAGAACCCTGGACCAGTCTGCGTGGGTGTGTCTGTGTGTGTGTGTGCGTGAGAGGTGAGGTTAGTCATTTGGCGACTTCCGGACTGTTGGTACGGCTACCTGCCAAAGAAACAACAAAGCTCTCGACACTACAAACCCTAAAAGCCCTACAAACGCTAAATCCTTTGGAAACCCGTATAGACCTACCCGAGCAGACAGCTTTAAACATAAAATGAATTCGATAAACCTCTATAAACCCTTAAAGATCTTGAACAGCGCCCCTCGCTCTGGAAAGCCTTGCTTTCAAGGTCGCAGCAGCTGTTGCGCGACGTGCTGGAGATGTGCCTCCGACACTTTCAATGGTGGACTTCTTGCATATGCTCCGGAGTGCCAAAGACTGGGTGAAGGTTTGTGTGAAGTGTCTTCAGGCTTGCTTAAGAGACACAGGTGTATGCCAAGAGTTTTCATGCTTGTCTCCTGGAGGCTCGTCCTGCGTGCTCTCTTGGCTTCCAGGTAGCCTCGAATTCAGTAGGCTTGAACGAGATGGTTGTGTGGCTGGAACTGCTGACGTCTCCGCCCGTTCTTCAGTGGCTGGGAGTCGGTTTAGGTGTACAGACCGCTCTGCTCCTCAACACCTGCAAAGGCCTACACGACCAAGTTAATTGTAGATTGCCACAGTGGGAGGCGGCCTGGAACAGGCAGGTGGCCTCCCGTAAGTTCCGGAGGATTGAATTCATCGCTCGAGTTGCAGCCACGCAAGCCTGGTCACAGCGGGTGGACGAGATCCAACAGATCAAGGACTTGGCCAATGACGTTCTGAGGAAGCTGCAGAGCCTCGTCTGCAGGGAAGGTCAGGGGCCGACACAGGAAAATGGGCTGGGAAAGGGTCGTATAGAACTCAAGACTTGCAGGCGAGACACCTGCGGTACTCCCGGCCTGGTCCCGACCGCCAGCACCCAGTCATACTTTTCCACGATCGTGGAGGCAGCTCAGGTGGCCGCGTGCAACCCCGACGAGCAGGCCCAGGGGTTAGGGCTCGGAATGTCTAGGAGCCTGCAAGCCCCTTAAATCACCGAAGCTAAACCCCGTAAGTCCTGATTCCTATGAACCGTTGCGCATGCTCAGGTACCAGAAGCCTGGCGGATCCTCCGCACAGCTGTGGCTTTGCAGAAGTGCAGCAGGTCTGCTCGTGATGATCGGATGCTGGATGTTATGGCTACTCGCCTTGCATGTTTCAGGATCTAGCCATCCAGCCAGCGAAATCATGGCTCGGAAAATTGTGTCAAATGCACATGCTGCTGAGCGCATGCGACCCCGGGGTGCGTTCGTGATTTTAAAGATCATGAATGAGCACTCACCTTTGAACACTCGCATTGCTCGCGCAGTTGGAAAAGTGCTGGTGCCTCAGTGAAGGAACGATTGCTTCCAGCCCAGAACCCACCGTCTTCCTGCTTGCCAGGAGGACTTTGCCGGGTTTTCCTACAAAACGGCCTTCTTCTTCCCAGGCCGCGGGGCTTCTGAAGGGAAAGTGGGCAGGTCGGTCAGCTTCCACGACTTCAAGGTCTAAGGTTTAGGTTTCAGGTGCAGGGTTTCGGGGGTTTAGCATTTAAGGCCGAGTTGCTTGCTTCTATTTGTGTACCTCTATATCTATGTATCCTGCTTTCTCTTGCGGCCTGACTTGGCTTCGCAGGCCAAGGGGCTCAAACCGTTGGCATGTGCAAGGAGTTGACGGATGAGGCCGCCGCGCGTGCATTGCGAGTTTTTGATAAGGAGTCGGATCCGAATCCTTTGAACCGATGCTCCTGTGTCACATATGCATACATGGAATTACAGGTTATATGTGTACATACATACACGCATATAGTGAGAGAGAGAGAGAGAGATCTGCCGGAACTGACCAAAGGCGTTTCCGCACACAGGGACGTGCCTCTGAGCCCTGCGAAGAGACAGATTTTGCGGGATGACAAAGCAAATGCTGCTGGTTCTCAGTTGGGTCTTCCCAGGTGTGGTTTGCTTTGCAACGGCCTGTGCTTAGCTCCGCGAGGTTCCAAAGGCAAAGGAGATGTCGCGCCCTGAGGTGGCTTTGGAAAAAGCTTATAGGCTCGATGGTTCAGGCTTCGAGTTTGGAGGCTCAGGGCAAGTTGGGGGTACAAGATGGCTGAACCAGTCTGAGAAAGATCTCAAGACATGCAGAGACACAGCTGACAGAGACCAAGAAAGGCGCCAACCTGCAAGAAACGGATGCGGGGGTTCCCGAAAATAGGGGGCCCCAATATAGTGCCCTTAGTAGTAGGTGACAGCTTCTAGGAGGGGCTACTGCTGCCACTGGTAGCGGTAACCCAAACAAACATCAAGACTGCTACAAGCAGCGGCACCTTTTGCTCGAACACGTGTGCCTTCCGGACGAATCGCACGGTCACAGCCTGGCAGCGGATCTTCACAAACTCTTCAGGCTTACACTGGTAAAAATCATCTCTCCTCTTTCTGGAAGAGTCCTCTTTTAAGAGGTAGCAAAATCCCGGCTTTCAGGGTTTCCCACCATACTTTGGCCCGCATAGGCTTCGTTAGTGGATCTGCGAGTTGCATTTCCGTCGGGATCCACTGGAGTGGGAGTCGGGGTCCCCATTGCTCATTACGAAGTTCTTGACGAAGGGCCGCCAGGTCGATGGCGAGGCGTCGGTCAGCTGGTAGCCTGGGTGTTCCGGCCTTGTGCAAGTAGTCGTGCAGGGACTTACAGTCGGACAAGCATAGCATTGGCCACCTCTCTCGGATCTCCTCGTGCTTCACCAGTCGTCCACAAACTAGGGAGGCCAAGAGAGCTCGCATGTACTGGCCGCCTTCCAGCCCTTCCACTGCAGCCATCGTCTCGGCACCGAACGTCGAGCGGCAGACCCGCTTGCACGACTGGCTCCGCCACTCAAGTAGGCTGCTCCGGCACTTCTCGCCGTTGAGAATCTTCTGGTCCGTCATGAACACCAGGTGGCCAAGTTGGGAAGCCACCTTGGAAGAACCGCGCTTCGGCTTGCGGGGTCTGTCTTCGCTGAACAAGTGGCGCAGGGTGCCATGATCGATCTCCTCTGGCGACAGCTGGAACCCTTCCTCCACGTCTTCTAGCTCGGCATTCGCCCAGGCGGCATCATGATACACGAGGAACATGGCGGAGTCTAGGGGGATGCCGTGCAAGTAGATGCCCTCGCCTCGGTGCTCTTCTGCGCGGACCTTGAGCTGGTTGACAAACCGAACGTCCTCGGTGAGGGGAGCTCGCTGGAGCTGCTGTGACAATGTCACCCCGCATAGCAAGTCGGGGCGGCTCTGGCTACTCAACCAGCTCAGAGCTCCGATCAAGGAGCGATTGTCTATAGCTTGTTCGGTGCTGGCCGGTTCAGCCCCGTCTTGTCCGCGGGGAACGTCGACCGTGAACAGGCGGCCGTCGACAAAGCTGGCCTGGTTGATGGTGATGCCCTCGTTGCCAACCTCGATGAAGGAGCCCGTGTACTCAAAGCTGTCCTCAAGCCAGCTGTCAATCGGGAAGAGCTCGCTGATGCGCTTCTGCATCCTCCTGTTCACTTCTTTAGGCGCCACCAGAAGCAAATCATCGACGTGGATGCAGATGTAGGCGAGCGGTTCGCCAGGAAGTCCGCCATCGAGTAGCATAAGCACGCAGGGATCAAGTGGACTTGGAATCAGTCTGCAGCTCTTGCCCTCCACCTCGAAGACCTCGCCCAGGAGCACACTCGACAGCCTATCATACCACATCCGCGGACTCTCGGAGAGTCCGAAGACCCCTTTGCGTATCCGTGCCAGTTGGCGGGGATGTAGGCCATCGATTCCAGACTTGGGCTGTGACAACCACAGTTCGCGCTGTAGTTCCACTCCCTGAAGAAAAGCTGCCTGCACGTCTCCGGCGGCTGCACTCCATCTTTTAGAAGCGCACACTTGGAGCACCGAGAGGAGTGATGCTCTTGACACCGTAGGAGAATCCACCACCACATTCGTCACCCCAACATCCGGGTCTTGATGTCCCCCGACGACTAGTCGGGATTTCGGTTTCCAGGGGCATGTGGGGTCGGCCCGTCGTCGGCCCATGTGTTTGTCGCGGTAAGCGAACCGCGACGAGAGTATCCTCTCGGCGGCCACCGTTTGGCGAATGTGGTCGCTGGTCGCGAGGTCAAGTACCTCCAAGGCGCCAGTGTCGACATGCTCCTTCCATTGGACTGCTTCCGCACTGCGGAATGCCGGCCTCATCTCTTCAGGGATCATGGCCCAAGGGATCTCCTTCTCGAGTTGCTTCTCCTTAGAGCGGGGCGTTCTTGCCTTCTTGAGCATGTGGGCCTCGTGGGGACCAGGACCAGCGGGTACTTCATCTCCTCTTCCTTTTCTGCGCTGCCGCTTCAGGACCATGGGGGGAACTCGTGCCAACTCGCGCCGTACTCCTCGTCGATCGCCGGGGTCCTCCTCGATATCCATGGCGATCTCGCCGATGCCGTAGCCCTCGTCCGCTCCGTCGTGCGGCTCGCCGTCGGCATTTTCCTCTTCGCCGTCGATGAACATATCTTCCTGCTCAGAGTCGGCATTCAGGAGTTTGTCCAAATCCTGCTGGGCGATGTGCAGACTGAAGGCTTGTCCGAGTTCTTCTGCAGTTGCCAGCCGAACATGTTCTGGAGCGCAGAGCACACATCGTCCTCCGCGCGTTACCCATAGGTTGGCCCCTTCTTGCCCTATGATGGTACCTGGTCCAACCCAGGTGCCTTTCTTGTTGTTCTTGGTCTTCCTGTAGTAGAAGACCCGTTCTCCGGTCTCGGGCGTTCTGGCCTCGACCCGGGCTCGTCCCGCTAAAGCGCGACGGACTCGTTCATCTGTCTGAACATGGAAGTAGGCAGCCCGGGCTGCCGTGCGCAGAGCAACTTCCCGGGCATGTCTGTCATCGATGATGGGCTCTTCTCCAGGTGGTAGTGCATGTGGTCCATCAAGTAGGTCCTCTGGTACGCCTGGCGAAGTCCCAAAGACGTGCTGGCACGGACTAAACCCGCTCGTCTTGGTGAGCTGGTTTTTAGCAGACGATACCGCACCGATGGCCAGGTGGATGTCACTCTTGACGACGGACTGTTCCTCGCACACCCTCTGGAAGATCTCTTTCCAGATAGCCCCTTGGCGTTCGGTATAGCCGGCCTGGTGGTGAGCCTGACCGGCTGCCGTGCGCACACGGGTCCCCGTCCAGTCGCTGATCCTCCCCAGAGACTTTTCGAGGCCATTCTCCATGTCCACAGCAACCACAGACGGAGCCCCGAAGATATTGATCCAGTTTTCGCAGAAGGCCCGTTCCAAGGTGGGGGTGTCCTTCCGGGCAACGGGAACAACCACGTGATAGGCCGAGGAGAAGTCAACGATGGAAAGTAGTTGATGTCGCTGGCCTTCGCTGTCGTGGATGTAGAACAAATCGGTCCCAATCATCTCGTTGAACCGGAAACATGATGCCACCTTGGCCGGCTTGGCGATGGCAGGACGCCGGGTCCTCTGGCAAACTTGGCATTCAAGGTTGCGAGCGGCCTTTAGGACTTCCCGTGAGGCCCCTGCCAGCCGCAAATGACGAACAAAGTCGGCCACACTCGGGTGGCCCAAGTTCTGATGGAGGCGTCTTAGGCTTGCGGCCACAGTAGATGGAACGCTCGGCGGGAAGCGAATGGCCTGAGCGCCCCTGGCCATTGGCTGGTCCTCTTCTCCTTCATCTCCAACTCGGTGTGGGGCGGCCCTCCCGTCCTCGGCCTCGCCGGCGTAGACGGTGTTCACGTAGGACTCCTGCTCGTCGTAGATCACGTGGATGCTCTCGTTGCCGTTGGCGGTGTAGTCGTGCCGGACCGAATAGCCAGCGCTCTCCCACCCGGTGACAAGGTCATGCCAGAGCCTCGGCTCATCGATCTCTTTCTCGAAAACCACACTTCGACCAGCACCCAATTGATAACTAACGGCCTCGACGAGGTCGTTGTAGGCAGCACCGTCCCCGAACTCCTCCTTAACATGAATCCAAAGTTGCCCGGGCTCGTGTTTCATGACCGCCGCCTCGAGGTATCCGATGTCACAGTCGGAGGGGTGGTCGTTGTGCAGGACGTCCTCCACCACGATGGGTTCCACCAAATGATCACCGCAGATCCCGTACTCGGCGAGTCTACACGTGGCCGAAATCCCGCCGACCTCTAGCAAAGGTGTGCTCGGCGCAGACCGAGGTAGTAGGGCGAGTTGTGCCGCCTCGGCCATGGTGGACAGGACCGTTGTGAGTAGAACGCTCAGCAGAAGGGCGGTCTTGCGGATGTTGCGCCTGCAGCTTTTGCGCGGCCTTGTAGAAGAACTCAGAGGGCACTCGGCGCTCGGTTCGCTAGCCTTCACGGAAACCTCCTCTCGTTGGCGGTCGCACCTGAGTTGTGACTTGCTGGGAAGGGGAAACCCTAGTTCGCGTAGTAGCTTCTTTTCTTCTTTGTTGGAGTCGGGGTAGGTCCGGGCCGTGAACCCTGCAATGAACCATCTTTCTCCATGGAAGGTCTCAGTGCAGTGGCGTAGCCGAGGATCAAACTCCCAGCCTTGTTCGTGGGTCGACACGATTCGCCCTTCGACTTCATGACCCTTTGCATCTCGGCGCCACACTCCACCTCCGGACTCTTGTACCCACATGTCGCCACCCTCGCCTTGGCCGAAACTGACAACGAAGTTGTGGCTCCCCTTCACGTTGTTCTTGTCGGTGTGCATCGCCGCGGGGCAATTGTGGAGGAGGGCGATGGAGGACCACATAGGCTCTCGTTGTTCCGGATCATCGCCGCCGACATACTCGGAGATGACTCCATTCAAGTAGGCAGTGAGGTGTGGCCATTGCAAAGTCCGCTTCGTGATCCCCTTGAAGGTGCCGTAGGCGTAGTATCCGAACGTAGCCCGCCCGCCATCTTCAGGTAGTCCATGGATGCCTTGGCGTCGTTGGTGCTTTCCAGCGAGATCATACAAAGACAAGATCTCTTGGAACGTGGTTCCGGAGAAATCACCCTCCTGCAGCCTCTGGCGAGCAAGTTGTTCTCCAGGATGATCTCGCCCGGGGCCCTGTCGTCGGGAGACGTAGAAGGCGTCGTTGACCAGGTCCTCCGATCCAGAGGAACATGATTGAAAGCCTTCGTCGTGCTCGTGGTGCATGGCGTGCGCGCCCAATGGGCGCTTCTCGTCGATCTCCTCAGAACCAGGACTCACTGGGGCGGCAAACCGCACCGATCGCGGAGCGTCGCCAGTCGTGTCTCCAGGGCATGGATCTCCATCAGCGTCTCCTCGGCGATCTCCTGCTCCATGCGTGTGGGTTCTTCTCCGGGTGGCGGCCGTGCTCGGGACGCCCGTGCCTTTGCCTTCGCGGCGGCCATCTCGGGTGCCAGGTTTTGAGGACGGACAGGTCTCCAATCGTGCAGCTCGCTGTAGCCGCTCCACACGCTCTCCACTGCAGTAGGAGCTCCCCGTCTCGCTCATCGGTGGCGGTGGCACACTTGCGTAGGTCTCCACATCCAGGTAGCTCGCCGCCGATCTCGGTGGCGTCATGCTCGCCTTCGGCTGTGCTCTCATGTGCCTCCTCCAGTTCACGAAGCGCTTCAGGTCGGTGTGCATGTTGTCCCCGTTCTGGCGTTCCTCCTCTGAAGCCCAGGCTCCGTAGGATTCCGGGACCTCGTTGAAGGGTGTCCCGCGGAACCTTCCCACCGTCATCACTGTACTCGATGGGGCGGCCGCGTCCCGGATGCGAAGCATCAGAGTCCCCTTGGACTCCTTGTCGTGAACCGGCAGGTTCATCTTGATTGCTTCCTCGCGCAGCTCGGACAAGTTCATCCCGGAGAGCTTCTTCGGCACGGCCCCGGTCGTGTTCCGCTTCTCGTAGTCCATGTCGGCCATGAGGATGGTCCGGAGCTCGGGGCACGTCCACTCGGGACTGATGGCCAGCTCGCGGCGATTGCACTCCGCGATCAACTGTCCTTTGGTCATCTGCCATACTGCAACCATGGCCGGGAGGTCTCGGAACAGGGGATGCTTGGGCTCGGTTGAAGACACTGCGGCCAACCCATAGAGTCGGATAGTCACCTTGCTCACGATCCTGCCACAGCTCGCTAACGGTGGACAACATGCGACCAGACAGACATCCGATGCCCCAGGTTTCCCTCATACTGCCAAGTTGTGCGAGAAGTAGTTCACGTAGATGTGATTGACTAGTTTCCCAACGTCGGGGGTCGAAGAACTTTCTGCGGGGTGTCACATGCACACGAACTAGCTTGTGAGGCAACTCTAACCAGAAGTCATTCGTGATTTCGGTTGTAGCCCACCAAGATGAAAAGGTCTCTTCATTCAACAAGTCACTGGTCAACATGTCTCTAACTGCTCCATCTATCTTCTTGTCGTAAAAGATCTTGGGTACCGTGACAGAGTCAGTAGGCCTATCCGTACCATCCCCAGTGCAACCAATCATGTATACCTCGCGATGGCTGACGATCTCGATCCCATGGGCTTCCCAAGTGGTCGGGAGCCTGGAAAGGTCTGGCTTCGCCATCTCGCTGTGGTCAACCTTCAAGGCTGGATGGCCGCTGTGGGTCTCTAGGAGGGCAATTTCCCCGCTCTGCAAGGTACGGAACGTCGCCACATTGCGGCTCAAATCAAGAATCAGGCCCAAACGGGTCAAGGCAGGTTTCGACATCAGCAATGGCACGCCTCCATGAATGACCGAGGCCTTCACCGCGACCACCTGGGAGGCGATGGGGATATAGATCACAGCGGCATACGTGGACTCGTAGATCTTGCTTGCGGCGCCGAACTTGAAGCTTTCGCGTTCATGGACCAGTTCGGCGTCATAGCCGCCGCCCTTGGTGTGATTGAGGTACTTCTGGAACCAGCTGGTGCCGACGACAGTCTTGGAACACGCGGTGTCAAGGATCGCCATGAGGTCGCCAGCGCCGCCGAAGCACAACTCATACACCTCGTTGGTGACGTGGATTGTCTGCGTCCTCGCTCCCGATTGTCCCTTGCCGAACTTCGGACACACTTCGTCGCGATGCCAGTGTCCCTTCTGGCCACAAGCTGAGCAGTGCGACTTGGCCTTTGCCAGGGCGATCTTATTCTCGGCGGCGCGGCGAGCGGGATTCGCCTCTCCTTCCTTCTCCTTGTCGCCGATCCTAGTCTCGACGCCCCTCGCCTTCGTAGCCTCTTTGTACCTGGCCTTCGCCGTCATGTAGCTCACGTACAGGTCCCCGGCATCAGCGTCGGGGTCGTCGTAGGTCGGGGCCTCCATCTCCGAGTCGCTCGCATTGGTCTCATCGATCCCCTCGGCGTGGTTCACATTCTGTGTGCGCGGTCGGACCCCGGCCTTTTCCCATGGTTTCCGCATGGACCTGTCCAGCACGATCGCAGCAGATTGGAGAGCTCTTAGTGCGTACTTGTTCCCTACGCTGGCCAGAAGACTGACCTCGGTCGCCTCGTCGAGGTTCGCCCTGTCCACGAACAGGCAAGCGTTTGCCACATCAGGTAGAGCGCATCCGCATTCCACCACCCTGGCCAGCAGGCGATTGAACTCCGCGGCGTAGTCCCTGAAGCTTTGTGTCGGACGGCGGCGCAATTTTCTGAACAAGTCACTCAGTGACCTGCCGACCTGCGTCACCTCCACATCCAGGTAGTGTTGACGCACCCATTCGCGAAGCCTGTTGACACCGTCGGGGCTTGCTAGCTCGTCCACGCTCAAAGACTCTGAGTTCACCCATGCGGAACCAGCCAAATGCTGGTAGAGGACCAGAGCGCGTTGGTCCGGCGCCAGCTTGGTCATCTTCTCCCAGGCCGAAACCTGGCGGAGATAGCTTCGTGCGGAGCTTCCGAGGTCACCCCCATTCTCGGTGTCGCCGCTGAACGATGGCACGATGAGTCGCTCGGAAGGGCCCTTGGTTCCGCCCATGCCACCACTTCCACCATGGGATGACATAATCCAGGGTCGTTCCGCCGAGGGGCCCGAGGTCCAGGTAGTTGGAGGGCCTCCGGAGGTTGACATACTCGTCGAAGTAGTTTCGTCGCGCCGTCCAGCTGGCCCATCACCCCATGACCGTGCCGTAGGTGCGGACGTGGTCCATGTAAATGATGAGCTCCCGGGACCTGTGGTATTCCCGGCTGTAGGGGCGTGACCACCATCCCACGACCGTGCCGTCGTAGCGGACGTGGTCCATGTAGATGATGAGTTCCCTGGGCCTGTCGTAGTCCAGGATGTAGTTTGGGAGTCATGGGGCTCCCAGTTCCACTGCCACTTCCAGCTTCCTTGTCCTGGTGTCGCGTGCTCCCAGGACTGGTCCCAGCCCCAGTGTCCGTCGTCATTCCATGTAGACCGCGACCACCACGAAGCATCTGAGGTGTGGCGACTGGGTCCGGAGCCGCTCCCATCATGGGTGCCTCCGCTGCCGTCGCTGCTAGCATCTTGCTGTTTCCAAGTTGGCTGCTGAGGTTGCCAATCTTCCCTCGTCCAAGGCTCAGACGCCCCAGCGGCTGAGTCCCTTCTTCCTTGAGCTTCCCAGGATTGTTCATTTTCAGCAGGAGTAGGTTGCGCAGTGTCTTCGCGTGCAGGCTCTGCATTTGTGCCCGGTGGCGCTTGACCCCAAGGGTCGTTGTCAGGCGCGGACCACGGGTCCGCATCGCTTCCGCTGGCCATGGAGCGCACCGGCTCCGCTACCAGTGACAGCTTCTAGGAGGGGCTACTGCTGCCACTGGTAGCGGTAACCCAAACAAACATCAAGACTGCTACAAGCAGCGGCACCTTTTGCTCGAACACGTGTGCCTTCCGGACGAATCGCACGGTCACAGCCTGGCAGCGGATCTTCACAAACTCTTCAGGCTTACAGTAGGATCCTAATTATAAGGGCCCCAAAATACGGTACCCCTTATTTTCGGAAACTCCCATGTCCTCAGGTTTGAGACCGCCAGCGACATCATAGGAGTGGATGGGGTGGGCGCCGGATCCCAAGTCGAAGTGTCCTCTGAGCGCTGGGAGGCTATGACCTGCTTGACCGTTGCGTGAACGGCCCCAAGGAGGCCTGCGGAGTGAAGCTGACAGAAGTGGCTGACAAATCCTCTGCAGAAAATGTCAACCCTGAATCATCCTTATCCGCAAATGGAGAAAGTCTGAAGTTGTGCAGTGATTTCCAGCCATCGGCAGGAACTCGACAAGACTGCCGTTTCTCAACCGGCGATCTTCGTGGCGTCCATGGTCCGGACGCACGGGGAAGCAGCACTTTTCTACAGATGTCCTACATTTTGGGGCTTCTAGAAATTAAGGGTGCCTTGTGAAGGGTTCTGAAGACATGGACCCTACCATCGCGAGAGTATCCTCGGCTTCTGGTGTTCCGACACTGTGCGAACTTCCATCAGAGTATTTTAATACGATTTGCACATGCCGAACCACGTCCACAGTCCAGCAGGGTAGCTCTAAACCTTTAGTCTCTAAACCCAGGCGGCGGATAACTTGGTGATTCTATGTATGTAAACCCTAGACCCTGCCATGTGCCGATGCGTGGCGCTTGTTGTTGGGCTGGGTTTACTTCCTGCCAGTTATTATTCTGCCGTGTGGTTGTGGGGCTGCCTGAACTATGCGTGCGTGAAACGTGGGGAAACCCATGTTGAAGATCGTTTTTCGGATGATTCGGATCCATCGCCAAGTGGTGCCAGTACTGCGACGAGTGAGGCGATGGGCGCGGTCAGCACGAGCGCTGCGAGCCTGTTCATGAGCACAAGCAACTCGTCTTCTGTTGCTGTGACAAGTGCCGGCAGCTTCAATACGCTGAGCACCACGAACCGCCTGCCAGAAAGCTTGCTACATGACTATATGACATCGTGCAAGCGTGACTTCAGCGGCAGGCTTTACCGCATGGAGCACAACTACAGTGACGTGAAGATATGCAATCAGCCATGCGGGCTTAATGTTGCTGGATGCGTTTCTGCACCCTTCCAACCAATTTGCGTATATCCAATTCAGACTGCAAGGTAAGCGCCCTGATGGTGCGGGGTTCACTGTCGGGAAGAAGCAGGTCCTTTTTGCCAGAAACGTCACGTGGAACTGCTTTTGGGTCTCACCCGAAAACCCCTCACGCCTGCTGCACACGGCAGCAGATTCGAACTGGCAAGACCGAACAAACAAGGGACGAGGAGATGACTTCTACCAGTTAATCGTGGCGAAGTGCGATGCTGGTAACGTGGCTGCCGGCAGGCTTGAGAAACCTTTGCTGATGAACATCACTGCGACAGCTTCGGGCAAGATTCTGGCACATTGGGGGAAGATTCGGGTATGTCATGAGCCACTTTCCCCGACTCCGATTCGCTCGCTCGTCTGCACCGGAACCCTGAGAACAGGAAGCAATCCGCACTCTGGAGTCGTGTGCGAGCCGAGAAGCATGGGCCCGTACATCAAGAATTGGGTGGAATACAGCCTGTTCATCGGCTTCGACATGGTCTTGATGTACCTGGAGGACAAGGACTTCTCCCCGATCGAAGATATGCTCTGGCCCTACATCGACTCCAACAAATTGGTCCTGTTCAGATCATATCTCGAAGGTATCACCGGCCATGGATGGAGCCCTATGCTGCTCTACGAGGAGAATCACTGCTTGTGGAGAGCGAAAGGTTTGGCAAGGTATGTTGCACACAACGACGTGGACGAGTGGGTGGATTTGAGTCCCCAGCATCCTAATATCAACACCTACATGGATCGGACTATCGGGAGCCACGACTACAGGGCGATATCCATTCCGGAGAGCCGATGGATCGTTCCGGGCCCGAAAGGGTCACGAGGTGCGTATGACTTTGGCATCTACCCCTGTGATGAGATATGTACCAGTCTCGAAGGTGGCAGGAACAAGTTGCTGATGGACACGGAGCGTGTTGATGGTTACCAGGTACATGTCATCTTGGTACCTGTTCAGAACGACACGACCGTCAGGACGCCTCCAAGGGATGAGATAAGACTGGTGCATCTTCGGCTGGCACACCTCACTAATACTCCGGCAGGTTCGGTCGTCTGCCCCGAGAATTTCCCTGGCCCGATGATGAATTCCACTTTCGCCAGATTCGTAAGAGACAGGTGCCGGATGATTTTGCCGAAACTGCCCAAGTACAGTGAGCAACCACCATTTTGGCGCCGGCGACGGCAGGAGCGCATGCTCCTCGGCCCGTGACGGCCTGCCGAGGCAACCTTCTTCGCTCAGAGGGTCCGGCGATGCAAGCTTGTGCAAAGTACTTCTTGGTTTCGCGCGATCCATTCGTTGCATGTTGCTCTGATGTTCTGTGTTCTAGGTTCTAAAGTTTGCGGTGTCGAGAACTTTCTGGAACGAATGGGTTCGGTTTTGCTCGCTTTTCCTCCTTGTAAGTGGAGGTGCGTAAAGGAGACCGAATATCTCCTGGTCTACTAAGCCTTCGGAGTAGGGCCTGGAGACAGTACGGCGGTCGGAACAAGGAGCTCCAAACAAGCACGGTAACGCGCCCCGTAATGATCATGGGGTTTTGGCACGGTGCCTGGGTAAGCTTTGCAAAAACCTGGTAAATGTTGGATTGTGTGCACGTTTTTGACGAAAAGGTTTGTTGTGGATGATTCAATTGACCGTTTTACCGAGGGTTTTGTGTGCCGAAGCACGAAAACACTGGCCCCAGTAGGAATTTGAAAACCCGTCCGAATGCGCATCAAGCAGCCGGCCTCTTTTTTCACAAATGTCTTCTTGTTCTTGTCCGTCAGCCGACTAAGGTCCGTGGACAGCTGCGTTGGAGTATTGAAACGGAACATACAGGAAAAGCGATGAAGATGATGATGATGATGATGATGATGATGGTGATGGTGATGGTGATGGTGATTGTGGTGATGGTGGTGATGGTGGTGATGGTGATGATGGTGATGATGGTGATGGTGATGATGGTGATGATGATGATGATGATGCGCATGTAGATGAGGTGAAGGTACTGTCTTTACCAGAGTTTTTGTGTGTCGAAGCACGATGATGATGATG